GAGTGTATCTGTAGGAAAAATGGTACAGTATGTTCCCGCGGGTTTGAGAAGTTGATTAATCTTAGCGCACGCTTTTGTTGAAAAAGTACTCTTTTAAGGTGTGTTTTAGCAGCATTTCCCCAGCTACAGATTCCATAATTTACATAAGGGGCTATCAAAGCTTTATAAATGCTAAACATAAAAAACGTCAAACAATAGATTGTATTTATCGACGAAACCCATTAGACGGGTGTACATTAATTTTTCAAATATACGGTTGAATGTAGATAATAAAGAGATCGGTCGGTAATTACCAGTCTCAGTTTTATCATCAGCTTTATGAACGGGAATTATATTGGCTATTTTCAACTCGTTAGGATAAATACCTGTTTCAATTGATTTGTTCATAATATCAGACAGTGGTCCCGCTATGAATTTAGACCCTATTTTAAAAATTCGTACAGGGCAGGAGTACAGGCCGGACGCTTTGTTCTTAGGTAAAGCAATGATTTCTTCTATAATATCATTAGGGATAACTGGTAGAAAAGAGAAAGTAGTAGAGTTAGATTGACCAAGATATTCTGTAACTGACTCTCCTGTCGATGGAATGCCACTTGCCAAGTTGGAACCCACCTCAGCAAAAAATTTGTTTATTGTTTCACCAGGATCTGAGGTAAAAGTGCCATCACTTCTTTTAATGCAATTTATAGTTTTCTTTTTACTTTTCTTAATAGCAACAAGCTCGTTGATCCCTTTCCAGATTGCTTTTGATTTAATTATATTTGTTTCAAAATATTTAAAGTAATGGTTTTTCTTGCTCATGCGAATAAGAGAGGTTAGTTCATTTCTATAAATCTTATAAAGCTCACGGTTTCCGTTCAGAAGAAGTTTGTGTTTTTTGTTGATAGCAATTCTTATGCCTTTTGTTATCCAAGGTTTTCCCAAATTCTTTAGTTTACGTTTAGTAGGTTTTTTCAGAGGTGCGTGTTTGTTTACAATGTTATTGAACTTTTTATAGAATCAAGCCGCCAATGGCAACACAACTCGAAGATTGATTGTGTAGACGAATACAGAAAGATATAATGATGAATCAAATTTACTTAATGAATAGAATTTTAAATAAACGATTTATTAATATAGTTTTATAATTTAACTTCGGTTGTGGATAAACACAAGCGAGCGACGGTGAGATGAATACCACTCGAGCTACAACTATGAGTAAATGAGAAGCGCTACATCTGGATCCGAATAACAAATAAAATCACCGCAAGTGTCAAAAAACAATAACACTGAATAACAACTAATCCCTAAGAAAACTTGGAGTTCAATTATTAAGCAAACAATATTAATTTCAAGACG